GTTAAAAAGCAGTGAACGTAAAAGCATTTGATGATAAACAGGCTATTATTAGAAGAGAACAGCTGATTGGGTCCACGGCACGCTCCTTATATAACAGTATCAGCAACAAACGCGCATCTCAGAACAATTTGCCAAAAATAAGTCCAACCAGGAGGGCAGCGAATGCAATCAGTGCAACCTGAAACGCAAATGCTTAGAGCGGAGAGACGACATATTCTGAATAGCAATGCGGGGAATTTTGACCTCGGAAAAGAGCATAAACAAAAACAACGAATGCACCAGCTTTCAAGAATGTGGCCTCGTCCTGCGCGATACAACTTAAAGGGCAACTATCATAGGGACACTGTGAGACGTACTACGAAACAAAGGTGAAAGACTTCAATCAACTGCAGCACTAGTGATGGTGATCACGAAACTACAGGAGAAAGGGCCTGAAAAAAGCTCTGCTCGATTAGGTCCTAATAACATCTGGAATCTCACTGAGATGCCAATGACAGTTTTAATCTGTCCCGCCAAAGGATTTTTTCAACTGCAAAGCATGTGAAAAATTGTGAATCACAATCTCGAAGGAAAAAATGTTCATAATTTTGCCACTTCTAAACAGTAAAAAAATTCGGGAAAAACCTGGCAACTTACTTGGACAAGGGCAATTCCACGTTCCGAAGTTTGCGTATCTAGAGCTTGAGGGGCCGACTCGAGAGCAGCAAGGCGAGCCTAAAATTGAAAAAAAATTCATTTCATGCAAGTAAATCACAGTGAATTTTACAGGAATAAATTTTACTCGCTTTTATATTCTTACTGACAGTTAAAGGCCTTTGTAGAAACAGAAAGCCCAAAAAAGTGATTTAGTGAAATGAAACGATCACTATGGTTCTCGTTGCTTACTTTGAGGAATTCGTTGTCCCTTTCCAGATTGACTCTAGCAGCTTCTGCTTCATTCTTTTCACTGATCACACGACGTATCTCTTCATCCGAATCCTTTAAATTTTTAAAATACATGGCTACCTCCTCATCTGTATCTCTTAACTATTTCAGAGTAC